GCGAGGGGTGTCTCGCGAACGCGAAGAGGAAAAAATGGGGGGCTGAGATTTGGCCTTCGCGAACGCGAAGTATGAGACGCGAACGCGAAGGAGGGGAACAGTGTGCTACGCGAACGCGAGAGTGCAATCGCGAACGCGTAGAAGGAGTTTGGGCCTGGAGTCAATTGGCCTACGCGAACGCGAGGCATGCTACGCGAACGCGAAGGGTCTGGGGAACTTGGCCTTCGCGAACTCGAGCGTGGTCTCGCGAACGGGAAGAAGAGCAGACCTGGGCAGAATGTTTAAAGACATTTCATCCGCGAACTACTTCATTTCTTTCACCATTTTGGGACATTTTGAGAGCTTTTGGACGGGGATTGAAGAGAGTTTCAACTGGGATTGATTGGAGGTAAGTTTTAGAGTTAAATACATGATTATATTGTGAAATCATCCTTGAAATTCATGAAAATATAGCCAAATTGTAAGAAATTAGGGCTTGAGATTGAAATTCTAAATTTGGGATTTGAGGGGCCATTTGTGGCCTGATTTGAGAGGTTTTGGTATGTATAGACTCGTGGCGAGATGAGGAATCCGGTGATGTTAATTTTCTGATTTTTCGAGAAGTGGGCCCGGGGCTCGGGTTTTGCAAATTTCGTGATTATCGATATTTTTCAAGTCTTTTCGATTGGGTTATATTCCCTTAGCCTATTGTGACGTATTCGTTGTGGTTTTGGTCAGATTCGACGCACGAGGAGGTTAATTCGAAAGGCAAGGGCATAGCAAGCTAGGACTTTGGCCAGCTTGAGATTAGTAATAAATATAAATGTTGTGTTGAGGGTTTGAAACCCCGAATTTGCACAATATAGTGCTATGTGAGGTGACTTGCAAGCCGGATAACAGGCGTGGGGTAGAGCACCGTCGGGGATTGTGACTTGGTCCGTCCCGCTTAACAAAATCACTACCTAATTGATTGTAGTTTTGTGGTATCCTTAAAAATGGATTAATTGTCATAATTGGGCTTCGTGCCAACTACTTGAATCCTTCAGGGATTATTTTACTGGTTTCTTACCATATTTCTAGATATTGAACTCAATCCTGGTATTTAACACTGTTTTGTAAACTCAGCCATTTTCTAAAAGTAGAAACTAAAGTAATATTTTTAAATGAAGTTTGGGCTGAATATTTTTATTTTATTGTGCCGAAAGGCTTATGTGATTTTGGACTGAGTATGGGATCGGACTGCACGCCGCAGTAGTATAATAATGATGTTGATATGAGGCCAAGGGCCTGATTGATGCCACGAGATGGCTTATTATTGCGCTTGGGCCGTAAGGGGCCCCTCCCGGAGTCTGCACACCCCCAGTGAGTGCCGTCGACGTTAAATAAATGGAGCGGGCTGCACGGCCGCAGCGGGGTACTGGAGAGTACCGGTTTATGTGTTGCATTGCATATTTTTGTTGTCATTTATTCTTTATCTGTTGTGGTATTATTATAATTGTCTTCGCTGTTTTACTGTATTTATAGCTTTACCTTGTGTTTATTTGGGATTTCTTATCCTCAGACTTTATTTATATTTATTACTTTCTGGGTTGGAAGTACTCACAATACTCCCTGCACCTTGTGTGCAGATCCAGGTACACCGCAGGGTGAGTGAGGATTTTGTTTAGCTGAGCAACAGTATCCGGGAGTATCGAGGTAGCTGCAGGGCGTTCGCAGCCTTGATCTCTCCCATCTATCTTTATCCCTTTATTCGCATTTTTCCTAGACAGACTTGTGATAGGCGAATATTCTGTATTAGAGGCTCATGTTCGTGACATCAGATTCTGTGGGCTGATTAGTATTTTTATTTTGGGGTTTCGAATGTTAGAGATTATTCCAGAAATTCCGCATTTAATTTGGTATTTTAATTGTGAATATTTATTTATCCTCTGTGATTAATCGATCAATGTTGTCTAAATTGTCGGGCTTGCCTAGCAGAGTGTTGGGCGCCATCACGACCGGGGTTGGGTCGTGACATAACTAATCACTAAAGGCTCGTAAGCTTTAAGCAGCTACGGTTTTTCAAACCAAAATCATAGAAAACAAAGGAAAATGCATGCTCACTGCTTTCTCTTGTGCCAGGAAATAGCAATTAATAATTTGTTCTAACTTAAGAGGACTGAGTGTTCATGTGTACACTAGCTAAAATTTAAAAAAAAATACTGCAAAAGTTAATTCTTACATACCTAGTCATCTAAGGGCTGACCATTATATGCCAAAGTGTAAAACCATTTTTTGTCTTCGACATGAAATACACCAAGATCATAAGCAGGATTGAGTTCACTAACATGTCTCGGGTAAATTTTATTCCTGGTAACATATATACACAAAAGAGTACAGTGATTTGATATAAAATAATGCTATAATTGACAATATATTAAAATATAAAACTGAAAAAAACTCAGAAGTTGGAAACATACTTCTTTCTGGACTTCCCTTCTTTGACCCACACAGCAAATACATTCAACAAAGAGCTGTTAACGCTAGTTCCGATTTTGCTTTGAAAAGGATGCTTAATAGCATAAATTTGCTTTTTTCCTTTCGCTGCAACAACACCAGTACTGGAACCTGAATCAAACACAGTAATGAACAGAGACTGCATGGCCTTTGCAGGACATCTCTTTCTTTTTTCCATTTGCGGCGATACTTCAGGAAGTAATTCACGATTGTACAGAACCATCTCCTCTGCCGCCTCATAAATACTTGCAGTCGTACAAATAGCACCAGTCCGAGATTCAGGAACCTTTTGTTTCTCAGATTCTTCCTCTGTCTCCCCTGCCGCCGCATCAACACTTGCAGTCGCACAAACAGCACTAGTCCGAGATTCAGGAACCTTTTGTTTCTCAGATTCTTCCTCTGTCTCCCCTGCCGCTGCATCAACACTTGCGGTCGCACAAACAGCATCAGTCCGGGATTCAGGAACCTTTTGTTTCTTAGATTCTTCCTCCGTCTCCCCTGCCACCGCATCTGCAATCTCACCAATAACGCCAGCATGTGCTACATCTGCTGTGAAATTTACTTTAGCAACAAACATGTCAACTTTCACACCAGAAGGTCCTTCCATAGCATTGACACCTAACTGATCTGCTACACTAGTATCTCTTTGAGAATGTGGAACATCTTTGCCTTCACTTCCACCGACCTATTTTTTTTAAAAAGAATCGAATTATCAAAAACAACAAAGAAAAGAAAAGGGGAAAGTGCAGAATGCACAACGAAACACACCTGACAACCATCCATTTGAACATCTTCATTGCCACCAAACTCCATATTGCTCACAAAATCATTATTGTCTTTACGACCACTGGTGTCTTCCTCTGGATGTGCACCATATTTGACTTCGCTTGCACCAAGCTATTTTTAAAAAACAGGATATAGTAAGTTAACTAAAAAATAAAAAGAAATGCGGAATGGAAAAGAAACACATACCTTGGAATTTATCAACTTAAAGAGCTCCTTGAATTTATCAGAACTATAATCCATGAAGGAATTTAACTGCTTATGGAGCTACAAGATGAAACAAATAAGAAAGATAATAGACTTTGAATATATAATTTGAAGAATACTTTCAAAAAAATATATAAAAAAGACCAATACATACTTTCTTCACATCAGCTTTCAACTTCTGCAACTCACGGTCATAATCAACAGGTTGGACACCTGGCGCGCTTTTTGGCGCCTTTTTTGGTGGGACAGGCTCCTTAATGTGTTTCGGGGGTGGCATGGCAAAATCATCGCTATCATCAATAGAAAGTTTTCCCCTTTTACGTGATGTCAAATATTTCTGATACTCATCGGTAACTTCAACAGGCAAAGTAAATCTCCTTAGCTCTTCAATTGTCGGAGAGATATTTTTAAACTACAAAGGTAACCAAAAGTGATTCAGTCCTAGATGTACCAAAGATGTATAAAAACTGTATGTTTGATATAAATGAATTACAGTGTGTTATAAATGTATATCCCATCAAGACATAAAAGATGGTACCTTATTCCCAGTGCTGTTGAAGAAACCAGTAGAGAAGTCCTCACGCGTTGGCCTGTCTGTCATTTCCCAATTCAATATGTGTGGTGTATGATATCCAACGCGAATAGCAAACTTTTGATCAACTACAGTGCAACATTCATAGAACCACACTTGTAGTGCAAGAGGAAATCCACCAATCCTATAAAACTCAGACTTTCCCTTCAACCTGTCCCTCACCGACTTCATTAAAGCTCGAAATGCAATCTTACCCCTTGGAAGCGACACATACTCACCACTCTCGACAAGATGAAAATCACGTTTACTTATAAATGTCTTCTGAGCCTGAGTGGATATTAGAAATGCGTTTATGAAATAAATGATTGCAATCTTAACTGCGTCTTCATCAGACTGCCATTTCTTCTTCTCAAAACAATCAATAAGTGACTTCTTTGACACCACTTCAAAACCAGAAAAATAAGTATCCACCAACCTATTGGGTCCACTGAATTTACCCTCAACATGTTCATTACCACAACAGGTTAAACCACTTACAATACCAAATTCTCGAAGACCAAAACGTAAAACACATCTGTCATTCAATTTCACATAAAATTGATCACACTTATCTTAAACCAACTCCCTAAACATTAAAGAACGAATAAGTTGTGCCTGGATAGCAACTCGAGGTAAATCAAGGAAATAGCCAAAACAACTTTCCCTAAACATCCGAAGCTGGACATTAGTCAACATTGACTGTAAAACCGATACAATATCCACATTAGTGTATGATGACCAATGAGTAACAGGAAACGGCTCACCAACTGGAATATAGAGCTTCCAAGGCTACAAATACATGACACGAATTAAAAACAAACAAATACAAACTAAATCCAAATTTTAAAAGAAGAGTCAACAATAGAAAAAAGTATAACTGAAATTGTATATACCTTACAAACTTTGACAGGATATTTAACTTTTTTTGCCTTCTGAACCTTATTTTTTTTTTTTTGGTTTGACACCCAAATTCACTTCGTCGTCCACGACACGTTTTCTCTTACCTTGATCAGCATCCATTATAACCTCTTGCTCTTCTTTTTCTCAGATTTTCCAACAATATCCTTCGAGATTCTAACACATTAACACTGTCGGAACGATTTTGTCTTCGCATAGTTTGTTCATCAATCAATTTGTCAACTAAAATCGGGGTTGAATGAGGAGATAAACTCATCGACCTAGTTTCTCTTCTCATGTTGCTCGATTTCTCAATTGAAACCGACTTTGAATAAGGTGATGAACTCATCGAACGAGTTTGTCTTCTCATATTGCTCTGTTTCAAAATTGAAACTAGGTTCAATGACAAAATTTAAAAAAAAATATACGAACAAAAGGTTACAGAAATTTGTGAAGAAATTAATACAAAAACTCGACCAAAATTTACAAAATCAGTCGCAAAAGCCTAATGAAAAGCAACATCCATTCTACAAAAACACATGCAATCAGAAAAAATATACAAAATAAGAGGTTTTCTACTCCAAATTACCTGGAATCAGACGAAAATAACCGAAATGTATCTTGTTTTGTCGTCAATTTTAGCAATTTTGGTTGAATTTTGGAAAAAAATCGCAGAGAAAGAGAGAGAGAGAGAGAGAGAGAGAGAGAGAGAGAGAGAGAGAGAGAGAGAGAGAGAGAGAGAGAGGGAGGGAGAGGGAGAGAGTGAGAGATATAGAGAAAGAGAGAGAAAACTCGGTTTTCTATACGAAAAATAACGGATACAAAAAAAACTGACATTAATTGAAGCTATTTGGGCCAAAAATGACATTTGGGCCTTTTTTAGTAGATATTTTATTTTGGGCTATTTTTTGTTAGGAATGTTTGTAGAGTGACATAGCTGGTAATTTCCCAAAAGAATTTTAATGCTAGCGCAGAGTAGTAATAGGGGCTTTCACTCTTCTCTTTGAGGTCCAATTAGAACTGTCTTTTGGGCCATGGCCCACTGATATAGAAATCACTGTCTCCAAATGGGTCAAATCACATTAAGGGAGAAATTGATTTAGTGGGTATGACTCATATAAGCTTATGTGGTATTTATTTTTGGTTTTTTCTCATTAAATTTTATGCCATGTCATATTTATGGTAGAGTTGAGCCAAAATGACTTTTAAGTAACAATGACAAAATGTAGTTACTTTTAAGTGACAAAAAATAGTTAAAGTGACTTTAGTTTAATTAAAAGATAGTTGAATGACCATCAGTAAAATTAACCTATATAACCTTTGGTGATACTATGTGTCAAATTTGTCAGTCTAAATTTGAACAAACTGAGCATGTACGAGTGCTCCCGTGCCATCACGTGTTTCATCACGAATGTGTAACAACTTGGATGGCTCGAGAGCTTACTTCTCCAATTTGTTGCCGCGATTGCAGTCGTATTGTAGTTCAATAGTTTAAATTTTGACAAATTTGTCTTGTAATAGTTATTAGATAATCCTTTACCTTATTGTTATATGCTGTTGTACTTGAACACTATAATGAATATTATAGTCAAAGTGGTGTTGTACAAAAAATTAGGCATGATTAATTTCGAGGCAACTTAGTGGAATTTGGTGAAGTAAAGCAAAACTTTAACAAGAGACCTCAAATATATTTAGCAAAATTAGCGTCAGCATGTGTTGGACGTGCACTTTGTGCGTCACATGTGCATCCAGTATCAATTATTAAAAGAAAAGTAAAATCACATGTAAAATGTAAAAAGTTGTGTGTGGGATATAAAACAAAATAAAAATAAAAAATTGCAAGTTCAAAATATAAAAGGCGATCATCCTGTTTTAGCAACTATGTGCTACAAATTCCATGTCCTAAAAATATATGTACACTATAATACTTGCATTATTAGAAAAACTCATCACCTTCCAATATTTACACATATATTATTTCAATATTTTAACAGAAGTTTCTTCGATTTGTAACTCATTGTCTTCTTTTATTTATGTAGATAGTTTCTTCTTTCCTTTCCTTTATTCCTCCGGTCACCTCAAAAGGAGGATTTGACCTCACTAGATTCCATTTAATTAGTAAAATTATGCTGGGAGTGCTTACAGTATACTGCATATTACATCTTATATCGTTGGGCAATTTGTTACTGTATTAGACACTATGCTGCTATTGGAGCTCGAAGCATCGTCCCTAGAGTGTGGTTGGGTCATTCCCTCCGCCTTTACTACTTGCATTAAGTGACGTAAGTTTAGGGTTTAGGGTCAAACTTATGTCATGTCAAATTTCTAGGCCCCATTTGGCCATGAGTTTTCCCAAAATAAATTTGGGATTTATTTTCAAAACTCATGTTTGGCCATAAATTTTGCTCATATTTTGGCCAAATCCTAAATCCCAAATTTCAAATCCCAAAATTAGCTATTGAGCTGATTTTGGGCCAAAATTCCAAAACTTGGAAATTATATACATATTTTTTCAAAATAAAGTTGGAAAATATGTTTTGAAAACGTATGTCCAAACACATTTTCATCTTCAAACCAAACTTCACCCAAATTAAATTTTTCAAAATAAATTTGGGATCTATGGCCATACACTAGCTAATAAAATTTTTTTAGGATTTGAGTCAGAATAATTTTTAGGTGCTAATAGATTTTATTTATTATTAAGTGATAAAAGATAAATAAGTGTTATTTGGTGAAATTGAGAACTAGTTGGGTGAGTGCAATTTATAACCTGAGAGAAAATCGGGTGATAGAAAACTTTGATATTTTTGTATTTACTTGACAAATGGGACCCAATAGATTTTTTTGCTGTAAACAAATTTACTCTATTAATTGACTAACAGAAATTACCTAAAGGGATGATTATGCAGCATTCATAATCCAACTTTGAAAAAACAAAATATCCAGTAACACTATGAAATTAGCTCATCAGCTTTCGTATGTGTTACGATCCGAATTTCCTACCGCCGGAATCGTGATGGCGTCTAATATTGTATCTGCTAGGCAAGCCAACGTTACTGATTATTCTACCTTTTTCCTTTATCTTTTAACAATTTATCAGTTAATATAAATCAGCGGAAGCAAAATGCGGAAGAACAGAATTTAACAATTTAACTTAATACAATTACGAAATCCATAATAAAACTCCACCCAGAACTGGTGTCACAATTTCCGGACTGCCTACGAATACTACAAATAGTGGTCTGAATAAAGAAATACAATTCTATCTCAGAAATAGATAAAACAGAAGAGAAAAACGATAGAAGGGGAAGCCAAGGCCTGCGGACGCCTGCAGGACTACCTCGGGTCTCCACTGGACTGAAGGCAGCAACCTCGAACTACGGTCCGTATGGTCCAATATCGGGATCTGCAAAAAAGCGCAGAGTGTAGCATCAGTACAACCGACCCCATGTACTGGTAAGTGCCGAGCCTAACCTCGACGAACTAGTGACGAGGCTAAGACAGACCAACATAATAAACATGTGCGGTTAGACTAAACAGAAATTTACGGGAAGGGGCAACATGCTATGGGGGATACCGGAATAAGGAAACACAGAAATAACGGAAACGAAACAATTAAGGCACTTGAACCGATAATAGCAAATAATTACAGTAACAGAAAAAAATAAATGCACGGCATCACCATTCGTGCTTTTACTCTCAATCCTCACCATGCAATAAATAATAAAACTGTGCACGGCATCACCCTTCGTGATTTATCACTCTTCCTCACCATATGAATAACAGGAATGTGCACGACATCACCCTTCGTGCTTTATGTCCTTCCTCACCAAATGCATCAATATAAATGTAAATGTGCACGGCATCACCCTTCCTGCTTTACCACTCTTTCCTCAGCATATGCATAAGTATGAATGTGCACGGCATCACCCTTCGTGCTTTATTACTCTTTCCTCACCCAAACAGTAGAAACAATAACATCCCGGCAAGGAAATCAACAATAGAAACAAATACATCCCGGTAAGGGAATCAGTTATAACCAATCTCGTTCCAACAGTTAACTTCACAAAATGAATCTCAACTTGAGCCAATACTCAACAATGGTCAAATACCAAGAAAGTATCATAAGTCTTGTTCAACATGGATAATCATCAATTCAAGCTTAGATAGTACATAATAAGAATCACAACAGTCACATTATAAGACTCACAGGCATGCTCGACACCAACGTATAGATACCCGTCACCACATCTATGCGTCGTACACAACACTAACACGTAGCAAATAAGACACAACGCCTATTCCCTCAAGCTAAGCTTAGGCCAAACACTTACCTCGATTCCACGACCACAAATCAAGCCTCAAATATCGCTTTCCCTCTAGATTTCACCTCCAATTCACTTGTATCTAGTCATAATTAGCTTAATAACATCAACGAATGCTAAAGAACTCAAACCCAATGCTTAATTATGGTTTTCCCAACATTTTCCCCAAAAAGTAAAAAATCGACCCCGGGCCCGCTTGGTCAAAACCCGAAGTTCGGACCAAAACCCGATTACCTATTCACCCTCGAGCCCGGATATGCAACTGGTTTTGGAATCCGACCTCAATTTGAGGTCTAGATCCCCAAATTTCACCCAAAAACACCCAATTTCCCACGAAAATCCCTAGATTTTGTGATGAAATCTTGTAAAAAGATGAAGCAGATTGAAAGAAATGAGTTAGAAATTGTTTACCTATGATTTGGGGAAGAACTTTTCTTTGAAAAATCGCCTACGGGAGCTTAGGGTTTGAAAATTTGAAAGAATGAGTTGAAATCCCGTCTAAGTTATGATTTACACAGTCGCAGATATTGCATATGTGATAATAGGTTCGCAAATGCGACCAAAGCATCGCAAATGCGAAGCTTGGCCTGGGCTGCTGACTTCGCAAATGCGAACTATTGTTCGCAAATGCGGTGACTGCTGGAGTCGCAATTACGACATTGAACTTCGCAAATGCGAAGGTCCCCCTCCCTGCCCGCTGATCGCAATTGCAATGAATCTTCGCAAATGCGGTGCTCGCATTTGCGAGCCAGACTTCGGAATTGCAAAGTCTGCAGACCTACAATACAACAGCTAATT